CTTAAGAAAGAAATTGAACCATAACTATATACACCAGGTAACGGAATTCTGATATGATTATTCCGTTTCCATATTCCCTAAGGAACTTACGAAACTCTTAACATACTACAAATATAATAGCAACATTGATGAAGAAAGTTTTCAAAAGCAATAAATACTATTTATTGAGTGCTTACCACGTACCAGGCATTACCAAGTGCTTAACAAAGTAGTGTTATTTAATTCACACACCACTCTAGGTATTATTATGCCCATTTTATAACAGAGGAAACTAAATCTTAAAACGTATTAGTAACTTACCAGTGTCACACAGTAAGTAGATGACAGAGCAAGCATTTGAATCCAAGTCTGTCCATCATACAGTAGATAAGAACCTGAGTGTCATGGGAAGCCAACCTGGGTGTGAGTTTGGTGCTCCACTCTCTAACTACATGTCCTTGGGAGTTACCGAAACTCTCAAGGCTTTCATCTCCCACATTTATAAAATGAGGGCAATAATGCTATCTAGCCATTATAACATGTTTGACACAATTAAATAAGATAATGAATGTAAAACTCTTAAAGCTTCACTCAGAATATGGTGGCCTCTTAATAAAGATAACAAATATTCATAGAAGAAATAATTGCTATTAACTCTGGAGAAAAATATACATTTTGAAATAAATACACAATTAAGCTGATAGTATAACTTCATTCAAATTCTTAGGTAATCCACAAAATATAAAATAAATAAGACAGAGAAATTTCAACCAGCCCTCAAGCTCTTGACAACTATTAACATCTGCCACCCACTTCTGTCTGATTGTCAGTGTTATCACCTCTTCTGCCCCTATAATCCCAAACTGTGCCATTTAAAAGATGCATTGCTAAAATTAAATGCTGAGTTGTAATTTCCTGATTTGTCAGCAATTACCACATACTAATAGTTCCAAGCAAATTTTAAAAATAATTTAATAAAGCATTTCTATCAATGTTAGAAATAAATCAATTTCTATCAATATTAGAAAAATATTTTATTTTTGCAAACTTTTAAAAAATTTTACTAAAAAGTCTTAAAAATATTCCCAAGTCTTCTTATACTTTTACCCATATATAGCCATAGTTGGAAAGACATAATGAGGGAATTTACATTTGTTCTATACAGATTTGTGTGAAAACAGCCTCATATGATTATCTCTTTTGCGTTTAGAATTTTAAGTTTAAAAATTTTAATTGGGCATTTTTTTGTTAAAAATTAAACAAAAAATCATAGATACAATGATTATTAACCAGAATTCTAACTGAGAAAAAAAAAAGCAGTATTTGTATAATGCTTTTGAATTGGGTGCTGAGGGCAGATGACCCCGACAGCACGTGAATATAAACTGAGTAGTTCCAGACAGGAAAGGATTATTCTCTTGCTCTACAGAGTTAAAAGAGAAACATGAAGAACGAGGCTGTTCAATAGCCAGACTAGCTAAATGATCAGGTCTAAGCAGGATTCTGTTGTTTTGTCGGTTTTTGTTTTGTTTTGTTTTTGACAGAAACTTGCTGGATTTTTCAGGAGGATGCTTAAGGGCCCAGAACTGATGAATCTAAGCAAGACATTGAGAGTAGTTTGAGTGACTTACTGAGGTCTCTATATAATGATTCTAGAGGGATGCACATTTAAAGTTTGACCTCATTTAAAGTCCCCCAGCATCAGAAAACCAAGAATTCACAAAAATCACAGAGAAGATATTTAACTCTCACAGGGCTGGAGAAGTGAGATTTGAAATAAATTTAATCATGTTTCCAGGAAAGGGGGGATTTAACTGACACAAGAAGACTATATACAGTTACATAAAATAGTGAAATCATGGCCAAATATATATAATTTTAGATTATCAGTCATTTTACTTACAAGAACATTGAAGTGTAAAGAAATTTTGATACTAGCCTACGATAAACCCCAAGACTTCATGTTTGTGTTTAAGTCCTTTAAATCCATATTAATTCTATAATTTTTATGTATTCATTATCTTCTTAATCTAGAAATAATGAAGGAGATGAATTCACCAAAGTGATAATGGCTTGTCTACATATCCTTCTAGTTCTATCAATTTGTGCTTTAAATATCTTGAAACTTTGTTTTTAAACACTTTCTCAAGTTTAGAATTGTATTTTTCTATGACATTAACCTTGTATCATTATGCAGTGAAGCTCCATCTCTAGTAATGCTTTTTATGTTAAAATCTATTCTGGCTAATATTAGTATACTGATTATTCTCTTTTTGGATGGAAATTCTCCTGTATATATGTTCTTTGATTACCTAATTTTCAACCTCTAAGTGGTATTGTTTCATTATATATATATATATATATATATATATATATATATATGCTAATAACCTTGTTTTCAACTTAAAAATTTAGTTATTTATACTTATTGCACATACTTAATTATTTTCTTATTATAATCTGTATGAGTTTGCTAAGGCTGCCACTACAAAATACCCCAGACAATGCCTTAAGCAACACAATTTTATTTTCTCACAGTTCTGAAAGTTATAAGTCCAAGACAGTTGAAGGTGTTGGCAGGTCTGGTTTCTTGTGCAGGCTTTTTCTTTTCCTTACAGGTGGCCATCTTCTTGCTGTGTCCTCGCAGAATCTTGACAGTGTACACGTGCACCCCTAGCATCTCTCTGTGTGTCCACATTTACACAATCAGCTTGGATTAGAGCCCACCCTAAAAAGGTAATTGTAACGTATTCACATTTCGACAGGCTCTGTCTTCAAATACAGTCACCTCTGTGGTACTGGAGTTCAGAGTGTCAACTTATGAATTTGGGGAGAACACAATTGAACCCATAGCACTATCTTTACATTTTGTATATTTTATTTTTCCTGACTCTGCTATATTTTTCCTTTTAGCTTTTGCATTCTATTTAATTGATTTATTACTTTTTCTCACCTTATATATCCCACTATAATTTAAAGGTCATATATATACTATTTCTTATTTCTTAATAATCATCCTAGATTTATACACATGTATTTGTCAAATTCTAAAATTGATCAATATATCTGCCCTCATTCTGAAAAACTCCAGGACATCACAAAACCTTAATCACTCCCTCCCAACATATATGTTTATTTAAAATATTTTAAACATATTATTCTTTATTTAAGAAGTCATTATTGTTGTTTTATACAGATCATATTGTTTCTATTTCTATATTTGCAACTTTCTTTCATTATAATTTTCTTTATCTTCGACTTGCTAGCTAGAATCATTTCCTTTTGCTTGAAATATATCCTGCAGAATTTCTTCGAACTCTGATCTGTTGTTAGTCAAGTCCCTCATTATTATTATTATTATTATTTATCTGAAGATGTGTATATTTTGCTCACTGGAAAGAATTTTCTCTGATGTACAGTTCTTGGATAATTGTCATATTTTCTGGACTCATTAAAGATAGTATTTCATGCAGGTTTTATTTCTCAGCTTTCTGTTGAGGCAACACGTTCTATGAGGCTCTGTCTCTGAAAGGGTGGAATTTGTTTCCTGCATCCTTACCCTGCAAGGTCATGGAAACCTTGCTCAGATTCCCTGAGGTTGGGCAAATGCTTGCAGGGCAAAGATTATTTTAAGGCCCTGCTCTCCTCCCCGCGTTCCTGCTTTCACTTAGTTTTTGGACTCTGAGTATTTCTTTTCCTTGCCAGAGCATCAATGCATTTTACAAGTTATTGTTTTAGATTTTACTCAGAATTTTTATTTGCTTTTAGTAGGAAGTTCAGTCACAATATCTAGACTGCCATTTTTCTGGAGAAATAAGTCTGGTTCATCTCTCATTTAAAGAGTCGGGGGGAATATTTGGGATATTTTTCTGTTAATAGAATTTCATTTAAGGGGGCTTCTCTGTCTCTCTCTCTCCCTGTCTCTGAGTTTGTGCGTGTGTGTGTGTGTGTGTGTGTCCCCCAATATGACATAATTGATATCAGGAGCAACCTTGATGGTGAAAAGATGCCAAGTACCTTTAGGAATGCATATAAATTTTAAGAATTATAGCTTATGTCCTTGTTTAAGGAGGTGCAGCATTGCTAGTCATTGGTCTGCAGTGTGAGTCTCAGGAAGTCTCTGAGTTACTATTCGTTTATAATTTGTGCTGCAGAATTAAACAAGTGGCTTAAAAGCATGGAGTCATTGATACTAATTTACGTGGAGTTATTTGGGCAAAACGAAAAGGGCTGAGGATTGAAATCTATATAAGATTGCACACAGGAATCAGAAAGAATGCTAGTTCCTCTTGCCATATCTGTGGGATATATAACTAATCCATCACAACACTTTCTCCTCTTAAAAAAGAACTTGCCTGAAAATCCTTTTTAGCACAATATTCTCAGCATTCAATGCTAAACAACCAGAATAAGCAATTCAGGTGAAATCTATCAGCATAATGACAACTAATTGTTAATTGTATCTCCGTTGTTCTTTTCCTTTTTCAATTGGAATATTGTTAGTAACATGTTTTTTGTTTGTTTGTTTTGTTTTGTTTTAAGAGGGAATCTTATTCTGTAGCCAAGCTGGAGTGCAGTGGTAAGATCTTGGCTCACTGACAACTCCGCTTCCGGGTTCAAGCGATTCCCCTGCCTCAGCCCCCTGAGTAACTGGGATTACAGTCGCGCACCACCACGCTGGGCTAATTTTTTGTAGTTTAGTAGAGAGGGTGTTTCACCATATTGGAGAGGGTGATCTTGATCTGCTGACCTGGTGATCCCGCCCACCACAACCTCCCAAAGTACAGGCCTGTACCACCGCGCTTGGCCAGTAACGTGTTTTTGTTTTCTTTTTCTTTTTTTTCTTTTTTTTTTTTAAGGTGTAGTGGTGAAAAATAATCTGTTCAATGTTATAACCACTCTTTTGGAACCTGCTTCCTAAGGTCACTCATAGTAGTGTTTTACATTATTCTATCCTATAGCATTCAATAATAAATAAGCTCTTTTATGTTGTTCTCTTATTCTCTCTTCTGCACTACCAGTCCGTGATCTTTATTCGTGACAGAAATTCTCATGGGCAAGAGATATCAGGATACATCGACTATGCCCACAGGCTGAAGATTGAAGATTTTGAAGTCTACTTTAGTGGGAAAAAAAGACTTCTTCCAAGGCCCAAAGATATGAGGTAAATTATATACAACTCTTGCACCCTTAGAGGCAGGGACAGAGACTTTTTATTTTACGGTCAACATTGTGCCTAAAATGCTAATGTATATATAATAGGAATATGATACAACTGATTATTAGTAAGAAAAGAACTAAATCTTAAAATAAGAATTAAGCATTTTTTTCCATTAATAACCTGAGAAAAAGGACTCTTCACAGATAAGATAAATAAATTCCCAGTGACACTCCTTTTCAATGATAAGTAGTGCCTAAAATTTGCTAACCTTGTGAGGCTTTTGCAGCACTTGGGACTTAGTCTGCCCAGAAGCCTCAAGAGCAGCTCATCTAACATGTTTTGCTCCACTTATCTTTGGTCACCAGCCAAAGTGCTGGCCCCTGACCAGCTCGCCCTCATTTCTCTCATCTCTGTCCTATTCCGGGACACCCATTCCTTCACACCCATCATTCTTTCTACTACTGACCCTTGCCTTTTATTCTAGAACCTTATCTATCACCTAGGATCTATTCTACTCTACCTATCTATCCACAGATCGGTTATTCTGCTTCCTTCTACATAGCATGCAAGCTAAAACATTTTATTCTCTCTTAGTTAATGATAGCACTCCCAAAATTAAGTAGCAGCATTCTGCTTTAACTCTCCACTACTGTATTCAGATCATTATTTGATAATTATAACAATACTTACCTCCTCTGAGATGCCTGTTATCCTCTATCGACCCTTATTGATATTATCTGAAGACTTCCTAACCCATCACCACTTTTGTTGTTGTTGTTGTTGTTAATGAGACAGTGTCTTGCTCTGTCGCCCAGGCTGGAGTGCAGTGGCACCATCTTGGCTCATGGCCAACCCCTGCCTCCAGGGTTCAAGTGATTCTCCTGCCTCAGCCTCCCAAGTAGCTGGGATTACAGGTGCACACCACCATGTCCAGCTAATTTTTGTATTTTAGTAGAGACAGTGTTTCACCATATTGGTCAGGCTGGTCTCAAACTTCTGACCTCAGGTGATGGACCCAACTCAGCTTCCCAAAATTCTGGGATTACAAGCGTGAGCCACGATACCTGGCTATCATCACCACTGTAATGCATTTAGCACTTTTCTATTTAACCTAGGATAACATATCATTTAACTGCTTTCTTGCAATAATCCCCATTGCCCATGTCTTTTTGGTCTTTGGTTATATCTGACCTAATGCATTCCAAAGTAGATTGATCCAGACATTTTTTTTCACAGCACTTGTAGCTACACCCCTGGGTACTGCTGAAGAAATTTATAGGAAATTTCACAAAGGTGTGGATGGCTGATGCTTATAATTTATGGTTTCCAAACTCAATCAAGCCCTTTGTGACTCTTAAAACTTGTGTTCAAAATTAAAGTCATTTTAATTCCTATAGGCTGCTGTTGCTTCTGTATCACCTGTCCTGGCAAATGACACCATCCTTGAAACCAAAGGCAAAATCCAGATGTTATCCTAGACCTCTTGCTTTTCATCACCACCCTTATAACTAATAATTTTTAAAAACCTGAATTCTATTATATTAAGTTTTTTGTTAAAGCAAATGTAAGATATCTAATTTAACATGCAAACACTTCAGCCTGGATCTTTATCTGATAACATCTTTAAAGAAAACGTCATGACATTATTATACCTAACAAAATACTTTCCTTAATATCATCTAATACTTAGTTCACATTTCATTTTCACCCTTGTTAACATTTAATTGACTGTCTAAATATTTTTATAGTTGGTTTGACCAATCAAAATTTGAGTTGTATTATGTTTTGTTATACTGTACCTTGGCCCTTTGCATCTTTTTTTCTTTACAACAGTCCCCCTCTTTCTTTTTATCTTCTACGCTATTTATTTGTTGGAGAAGCCAGGTCTTGAAAAACATTGTCCTGAAATGTCTCACATTCTAGATTTTACTGATCCAGTAAAATCCTGCTGTTTGTTCTATTATCTATATTCCTCTATTCCCTCTAAACTTATTTAATTAAATGCAGTATAATATTTTTCTAAGTAAGAAATTTTAATACGTGATGCTCTATACTGCCTGTTGCCCCTGAGCTTGATCAGTACATTCAGGTAGTGTCAGTCTAATTACTTCTCTACAAGATTTCCCATAAAATTTCATCCAATGGTATTAGCATCTACTATTGAAAGCTATCTCAATACTTTTACTAAGAGTTGAATAATTATGACTCTATAATTCTGTCATTTATCCTGAATTTTTTAGCTTGAATTCCTCTATAGAGCAAAACTTTTCCTTATCACTTATTTGGTTACCTTGAAATATAATTCATGCAGAAATATACAATAAATATTTTTCTTAATTTATAGAAAATGCAAAGCCAGAAACATGAAAGTGTACAGATTATGCCAAATTATTTTTCAGAGTAGTTATGGTATTTTGTATCCACGAGAAGTACTGTATAAGTGATCTGTTAACCCTCATCCTCACCAAGACAAGATGTTAACAAACTGTTTTTTCCCACTGTAGTGAGTGATAAATAATCTCTCAATATGGTTTTAATTTTTATTTACTTGATTATTTATTAGATTGGGTATCTTTTATTGGCTGTTCAGATTTTCTTTCTGAAAAGTACCTGTTAAGATTTTGTCTTATCATTTAAAGTGAGTTATTCTTTTTCTTGTAAGATTCCTTTTATTTATTTTTTTTGGATATTGACAAATCCTTTGCCTCTCATGTGCATTACAAAATATCATCTCTCAGTGTGTAGTTCTTCTTTTTTTTTTTTTTTTTGGAGTCT